GCTTATTCGGGGCTTTTTCCCATTCCATACGAAACTGGAGATTGCCTTTTCCATCTCGTTGAAGAATGGGGTTGGTATTTGTATTGGGATTGCATCAAATGTGTAAATTGCTTTTGGTAGTATAGGCAAGTGATATTTTTAAAAGCATGGCCAAGGGTGGACCCATAGCTCTGTCGTAGCCACCTATCTCAGGGCTGCAGGTCCTTATGACAGTGGGATGAGCAGCCGTCAGACTTGCCAAGGTCTCTGAGGTAATGCCCAGTTCTCTGCTGGGCATTTCCTGACACAGTGCAGGCTCTTTGCTTTTCATCCAGGAAGCAGGAGGTGATGGCATTGACTGGGGAGACGAGGCTGAGACTTTGCAGATCACAGTGCTGGAAGCCGGAACCGAGGGTACGTGCACCTCCCTGCAGCCCTGGCAGAAGCGGCACATACAAGGCCCTACAGCTCTAGAAGCAAGGAAAATGCACAACCAAGATGAGGCTTCTTACACATTGAATTGTTTTGTAAAAATTTTGATGTGAGTGGGAGAGGGGACAGGGTGAGATTGTTCCGATTAAGTCCAGAAATTACCAAGTCTTTGGAGACTGAATGTAGGCCGTTCTGTGCCTGTGAGGTTCCAGGAGGGTCTGTGGGCTCCAAAGTCTGACACCATCCCCGCCACCAGCTGACCAGTGCCGGATGTAGCAATGAAGTTGGTCACTAGGCGGCAGTACAGGATGAAACTTTACCTCCCACCACTGAGTGGTGGAAAAGTGGGCCTTTCCATTCTGCACCCAGCTCCGTGGTCCTCCTGCACATGGAGGGCTGGCAGGAGTGCCCACTGAGGGCCGAGACTTGTGGGATAGGGGTAACCCTTCTCCCTTTGCTTGGAGTAAAAAGACACTAGCGTGATGGGGCTGTGCCAGTATAAACCTCCCCAGGGCTTCTCAAACTTGACATCTTTTTTTCCTTCTGCAGTCTCTTCACCGCCTCTCTGTCTCTCTTCCTGGCAGCTCCAGAAGGTGTTGCTAGAGGCTCCGATGCTCTGACTCTCCTTGAGTACCCCGAGACCCGGAACCAGTTCATTGATGAGCTCATGGAGGTACTGTCGTCCTCTAGGGAGTGAGGGTGAGGTCTGGTCTAGCATGTGTGATGTCCCTCCCTACACCCTGCCTGATGCTGCCTCTGTGTGTGTGCTGGGTGCCAAGGGCTTGCTGTGTTCCAGAGGGACCGCAAGGGGTAAGCTGGCCCTTCATTCACTCAGTACATGTTTATATTGCACCTTCTGTAAGTCTTGACTGTTTTGGGCCCCAGGAATTAGCCATGAAGAAGAGAAAGGCCTAGGTAATTGTATTGACCCATTTTAGTTATTTATAAAGCAAAATGTCTATAAATGACTGAGTGAAAATGCAGTATGATTTTTAAACTTTCACTCAAATGGGGGAAAAAAGACAAAGTCTTTGGCTTCATAGACCTATAGTTCAGTGGGAAAAGTAGATAAGAAGCAAGATAAATAAGTCCATAGGATGTGCCACAGAGAAGTAAAGCAGGGGTGGGACATGGAGATGGCTGGAAAGGGCTGCAGTTTTATAAGCAGATGAGCGGTCAGGCCTCTGGACAGGTGGCTGCTGAGTTAGGCCCTGTAGGAGGTGTAGAGAGAGCCAAGCGGGTACCTGATGGAAGAGTACTGCAGGCAGTGGGGAGCTGCCTCTGTGAAGGCCTCCAGGTGGGGCTCGCCTTGCACACCTGAGGAGTGAGGAGGCCCAAGTAGCTGAACAGAGGAGCGGGAGAGAGTAGAAGAGGAGCCCAGAGTGAAGAGAGGCTAAGCTTTGACACTGGCTAAGGGATGTTGGAAGTTGGTGGAGATTTTGAAGCAAAAGAGCAACATGATATGAACTCCTTTGTGTTTGAATAACAGCCCATGGCTGAGTGTCCCAGTAAGGAGCCAGTGTTCTAGGACCTTGTTGGAAAGATTCAGAAGATGGGGGCCCCTCTTCCTAATCTCTGGATCTGTTCCTTTTCCTGTCCTGCTGATTGACCTCTCGGAAATTCTCTGCCACTTTTTCAGTTGAGGGAGCCTATGCTAGCCTCAAGGGGAGAGAAGGACAAGAGGGATCAAGTATTTATGGGAGAATAACTTTGACAAGATACCCAACTAGTTTTCCAATTCTTTTAGTTTTAATATGGGACTCCTCAAATTTGAATTCCTAGTCACCAACTCTCCTTTCTCCCAAGGAGAGAAAATGATCTTCCCTGGGATGAGGAAACTCTTTGAATGTCTGCAGTCCAATCCCCAGGCCCTGGGTGGGGTGGAGAACACACGTGGAAGTTCATGGCCCTTGGTCTGAGGTAGAACATGGGAGATACAGGATTGACAGCAGAGGCTGTCCCGAGCTCTCAGCTTAGAGAGGAAATACTCTCTCCTCAGCCTTATTTCTACATTTTGAGCAACTTAAGGACAAAGCTGCTAGATTTTTTTCTCAACTAAAACCAAATCCTCTTCCATTCTCAGCTTGAGATCTTCCTGTCCCAGAGAGCAGTGGAGATGAGTGAAGAGGCAGACATCTTGTCGGTGAGCCAGTTCCAGCTGGCTCCAGCCATCCTGCAGGGCCAGACCAAGGTGAAGATGGTTACCATGGTGTCCATACTGCAGGATCTGATTGGCCAGCTCACCAATCTTCGAATGCAACACCTGTTTATGATCTTAGCCTCCCCAAGGTATGGATTTCCCCATGACGTCGGGCTAGTCAGTAGCCTCCACCATCTTTAGCAACTCTGACCCTTGTATATTAATACTTCTCCTTTTCCCAGCCCCTTGTATCTCTTCTTTGCTTCCTATAATGTCCACTTCTGAATGGAGAGTATGTTGTTGTTGTTATTGTTGCAAATCATCGAGCTTGAACTGGTTCATAGCTGACCCTTCAATGGCTTTTCTGAGGCAGTAAATCTCATGGCAGGAGATTGCCCATCTTTGTCCTGTGGACCAGCTGGTGGATTCAGACAACATGTCTTTGGGTTCACAATGTAGCTCTTTACGACTAGGCCTCCAAAGCTCTCTGTGGAGGGTATAGATTTCTCCTTTCAGGCATGATTGAGTGCTTTGATATATAGGCAAAATCTATTCCTCAAGTGGGACATAGGAATTAGGAGTGAAATTTCCTACAAAAAAAAAATTGAGGGATGTGGAGGCTAAGAGACCAGTTAGGAGTTTGGTTTCCCAAGCCTCACCTTTCCAGACTTCACCTTCCAGGCAGCTGTGTGGGAGCACTTGGGTTGTATGCACAGCTACTCCACGCACTTACCTGAGTGCCCTGCCCAGGTATGTGGACCGAGTGACTGAATTCCTCCAGCAAAAGCTGAAGCAGTCCCAGCTCCTGGCCTTGAAGAAAGAGCTGATGGTACAGAAGCAGCAGGAAGCACTTCAGGAGCAGGCGACCTTGGAGCCCAAGCTGGACCTGCTGTTAGAGAAAACCAGGGAGCTGCAGAAGCTGGTGAGACACGCAGGGGAACCTGCTGAGTGAGAGGACCTCAGTTCCCACAGAATGAGGGCCTTCCCTGCTCTGCTTCCTACTCACTTGGCGTTACTGTCTTTCAGATTGAAGCTGACATCTCCAAGAGGTACAGTGGGCGTCCCGTGAACCTGATGGGAACCTCTCTGTGATACTCTCTCTGTTCTTGCTCGCCCATCTTCTCAGCTTTAGGAGGGAGGGGTCCTCCATCAGGAGCTGACGTCAAGGCCTTTCTGGCAAGAGACCAGGCCGACAGGGCGGAAAGCCCTGTGGAAGAACTGTCGCCCAGGTAGACGTGGAGGCTGTCACCTTGGCACTCACTGCAAGAAGCTGTCCTGGCTGTCCCTGTGGCCCAGCTGACCACAGCTCTGTGTGGTTAGTCTCATTGGACTGAATAAAAGAGAACAAGAGTCTCGCTTCACTCCCGACCATGACTACACTGCTTCTCTAGGCCCAGGGTTGAGGCTGTGGGGTTCTTGATCCAGATGAGGTCCCTGAGCTGTTAGAACCATAGGTTAAGGACTTCTTTGCCTCTGGCCCTAGATCCCCTGGTTCCTGTCTACAAATGGTCAGCAAGGAGTGGGGTATCCGAGTCGACTGGGGCCCTTCCTCCATATCCAGACCCAGACTGGCCCACTTAGGCCAGCAGCCCAGGGGGAGCACTTGAACAGCAGCCCAGTTGGAGCCAGCAAAGCTGTATTTTCCTTTTAATCACAGCTTACCTCCCGGCAGGGGGAAAGTGTGGTTTGGAGAGGAAGGGTCTGATAAACAAGGTGGAGACAGGAGTTGTCACCTTCACTAGCTGCCTGTCCACTTCCTACCCATAACTGCCTGCTCTGTGATTGGATCAAGCCCACCCCAGGATGGCACCCCTCTCCCAAGCCACCTACCCATCCCCACTTCCCAGGAAGGGTAGGGGCTGGGGGTGGCCGGCAATTCGATTTTAATTTCATAGCAGAGCAGTTGATTCATGGCTCTTTGTCGCTGGCGTTGACTCCCGTAATGACTTTCCATCAAAATGAAAAGTGGAGTGACACCACTCATTATTCCTGCTGCTTGTTATCTCAGTTCTGGGGAGGGCCGCCCCCTCCCTGCTGCCTTTCAGCCGTCCTGGACAGTGAGTGATGGCCCCTATTAATCACCGACCCCGCGGACTCTGGCGGACACACGCTATCCAAAGGAGAAGGAGATAAGGCAGCATGAACTGCTCGAAGCCGCTCCTATCAATTAATGTCAGCCCATCGCTTCCCCCAATCCTTGCCTGGTCATCTCTTTTTAGGGGGTCCAGGGGCTGAAATACGAAGTCCAGGAGTTGGAAAGGAAAAATATTGGTGTTGAATGTGGAGATAAAACTCCTCAGAATGGAAGGGCAGAAAGGACTTGACTGGGCTGTGTGCAGTCTCTGCTGTGGTGCTCGGGGCTGAGGGAGCTGTCTTCCTTCTCCTGATCCCCTTCGAGAGGATGTCTGCTCTCTCCTGCCCCACCTGTTCAGCTGCTGGCCTGGCCAGCGCACTGAGGCATGCCACCCTTGCCCTCCCTCATCCAATCACCAGCTGTTTGGCTCCGTGGTTAGAGAGCAGAGCTTCAGGGAAAAGTCCTGTGGGCCATGTGACCAAGGCAAGCTGGGCTCAGGCCTCAGAAGCTGGAGCCCTGGTGCCTCTGGGGCATCTCCTTGCCAGCCCTCCCTTCTCTGCCTTTCCCATCCCTGCTTCAGGCAGTGGAGGGAGTAGGACTCAGTTTGGGCCATTTTCCAGGCTGCTAGCAGATAGAAGTGAGTTTGGACGGAGAGACTTCTCTGAGGATTTGGGCATTTTAGTAAGCTGTGTGGGTTGGAGGACTCTCTCTCAGCCACTTTCCTGCTTATCTGGCGAAGTGAAGGCTTAGATTGACCTAAAGCATTTCTTAAAAGTATAACCTCATACCAAAAGTGCTGGCTCTCCAAAACTTTTGTAGAATTTGCTTTGGATGTCATCCTTGCACAGGGGCCATGCTAATCTCTGTATTGTTCTAATTTTAGTATATGTAATGCCAAAGTGAGTGCTGTAGTATTTGCTTTGAGCCAGTGCTTCCCTGGCCCAAGAAGAGACTCTGGCAAATAATCTCTTCCTGACTAAAGATACTGAAGATGCCTGCAGATTTCTGTGTCGTTCAGATCTGCCTCTAGATTTCTCTCCGCTTCTGACTGCGTTTAGGTTCCTGCATGTAAAAATTTTTTCTCAGAGTGAGTCAGGAGACTAAAGGAGCTCTTCTATGCAGAGCTCTCGGCAACAATCTAGCAGAGAGGGAGTACTTGCTGGTGAAAAGGTTTTATTTTTAACTTTCATGTTCAACTTACTTGTAAACTATCATAAACTTTGTGAAACAATAGTGAGAAGTCTCTCTGGGCATAACTTGGAGTTCCTAGAAAAGAGCAGTAAGGGGCTCCTTGAAGACCAAGTTCTGGGGAACTTTGATTCCAGGGTTAAAGAAAGAAGGGGAGGCAGAGGCGATGGACCATGGTTAAACTCTTGGCATTTTTAGTTTTATTTGAATTGAACTGCCAAAAATGCACTATACTTTCTTGCTTGCTTTTACTCCACCTGTTTCTAAGAGGGGCTTTAGCAACAACTCTCGCTCCTTCCTGAAGACTAGTCAGCCTGCTCCAGGTAAGAAGGCAGTGAGGGATCCCCTTTGCAAAATGCCCTCACTCTGCTGAAGCCACCACTGCCCCAGGGCCAGCCCCACTCTGGACCTCTAGCCAAAGGAAGCTTGTCTTCACAAAGTACTGTGTCCAAAGTGTTGCCCTCTGCAGAGTCGAATTCCTTTCCACTGCAGCCTGTGGTGGCTGATGTTGACCATGGACTACAAGGTGGAGGGCTGTCTGTTGGCCTGGCAGCCTTCCACCTGTGCCCCATTTGTTCACAATGTTGAGTGTACACAGTATCCATTGCCAGTTAGAAATCCAAAAATTAACTGCATCATTCAGAACAAAAATTTCAGCCATCTGACAAATATCATTAAAGAAAGGACGTTGCAATAGCCTAACTGTAAAGGCTGTAGATGTCCCACCCTCCCTCTCCACTCACCTGATGTTGCACACACAGTTTCTCTGAGAAAAACAGGGCTTTTGGCTCTTTGACTTTTCAATAAATACTTAACTGTTTTGTAATTCTTACCCTTTTAAAAATTTTATTCTTTTAATTGCCATTTCCTTCCCATTCCATCATGAGCATGCTAGTGGCCTCCTTGTTGGCCCTGATTTCATTGACACCACACACAATGGTATGAAATGTCACCATCATCAAGATCTGTTACCACTCAGGCCAATATGAGCCATAGTGTTTTTACTGGCTGATTTTTGGAAGTGGATTGCAGACCTTTTTTCCTAGTCTTAGTCTGGAAACTACTGAAACCTGCTCAGCTCCATAGCAACTTGAAAACACCACAGATTAATGGTGACTGTGTGGAAGGCTCACTGAGCTGTGAGAATTCTACCACTGAGCTGCAAATGACCTCTTATGTGTGAACACAAGGTCTAGTAAAATAGGAAGACAACAGTGGTGGGGTGGTAATTACCATGTTCTTAAAACTGTGACTTCAGATACCAGACTTCCTGTCCCTTACCTGTAAAATGAGGGCAGAGGTACTACCTACCGCAGGGTTGTTGTAATGTGCCATTGAGTTGCCTGCGACTTACAGCAAACCTGTGTAACAGCCCTAAACCCTGCTCTATCCTGTGCCAATCTTACTGACAAACCTACCTCCGTTACCCCAGTCACTGAATCAATCCATCTTATCAAAGGTCTTCCTCTCTTGCATTGTTCCTCCACCCTCCCAAGTATGACATCCCTCTCCAAGGACTGGTCTCACCTTGCAACGCAAGTTCAAAGTATGTCAGATAAAACTGCAGAATTTTTGCCTCCAATGTAGGTACATTTCAAATGTCAAGAAAGCAAAAATTCTCACCACTGAAGTGATAGGCAACATGATGATAGGAGAAAAGATTGAAACTGTCAACAGATTCATCTTACTGGGATCCACAATCAGCACACTTGGTACTAGCAGTCAGGAGACCAGGAGATGTAATACACTGGGAAAGTGTGCTGTCAGGGACCTCTCCAAACTACTAAGAGTAACGAATAAGGATGACAGAAGAATTGATAAGCCCTTTGAGTTATGGTATAGGAGAAGAGTACTGAATATCCCAGACTGCTAAAAGAGCAAACAGATCTATCTTGGAGAAAGTGCAGCCGGAGTGCTCCTTGGAGGCACAGGTGATAAAGCTTTGCCTCACAAACTTTGAGCATCTTGTTAGGAGAAGAGCTGTTCCTTGGAGAGGGACATCATGCTTGGAAAAGTGAAGGGTCGGCAAAAAAGAGGAAGACCCTCAACCAGAGGGACTGAAATGGTGCCTGCTACAATGGGCTTGAGTATGTCAGAGATGATGAGGATGGCACAGGCTAGAACAGGGTTCAGTTCTGCTGTTCATAGGCTCATTATGAGTCAGTCATTCTTGACTCAGGACACCTAACAACAAAACCAGGGTGGATAGCTGTGGAGAGTGTGTATAGGAGAATAGAGAAGTACATTTAGTAGGTGCTTAAATGTGAACTCTTGTGAAAAAGGGGGATATTTTTAGACTGAAGTAAAAGTTTATATTCTATCCTGGCTAGTTGCTGACAATCTAACTAAACTCATTATTATCTCTGACGCATACTTGGTCCCTCTGTAATATTTCCTACCTTTTTACCATCAGCAATTTGTCAATCTCTGCTGGTTCCCTTCTCTAAACAAATTTTTCCATGTTGCTATGGTCATTTTTGCCATTCCTCTGCTTAGAAATACTGATACCTCTCAGTTCCTTAAATTCTTTAGGGTACAGAGTAAAAAAAAAAAAACATTTCCTAGTGTAGCCTGCCAGTCCCTGATAATCAGACCCCCATTTGCCTGGGCAGCCCGCTAAGGCTAAATGCACATGCATGTGTATCTGCAAAATCCTGACTCCCTTTCCTGACTTTCCTGCCCTTCTTAACTAGCTCAGAATAGGTCCAAATAACATCTCAGTGGTCCTTTCTGTTTATCCCCAAATCCCAAAGAATTTCTCACTCTCTCCTTCGGAAGTTTCCTCAAAAGCCTTGCTTATAAATGTCTTTAAAGAGAGTTCTAATGGAGA